TTGAACTGTCTTCACGTTCAGATATCAATTTCCCTATTTCGTGAGATAGTCTCGGAAAATTTCATTTCAATAGGCTGACAATTTTTATTTATCCTTCGATGTTAAATAAATTTGAGAAATGAATCGCGATTCCTCGGGTTCTAAGAAGATAGCATCATCTGCTCCATTTCATCAATTGAATTCAATTTAATTGAATGACATTTCAGTAGCGAAAAAATTGAAGGGAAATCGCTCAATGGGTTTTCCCGAAATAAGGGAAAATAAGGGAAAATAAGGGAACCACCGGATTTTTTGTAATAACCTTTTTTATAGCCCCCGATTGACCCGACGAAAAAGATTCCCATGAAAATTTTATTATTTCCCTCGGTTTCGGAGGAAATTCCGGAAAACTCATCGGCAGTAGTTTTAAAATAGTAAAATGTTGTTAACGAGATGAATGTCTCTGCAAATTGGATTCAATCGAATTGCAGTCCATTGTAAGCGGTTTATCTCTCTCTGATTGTGATCATCGGGCCTCATCGGTCTTTGAAATTACAGGATTTTATTCACGTCACGAATCAACGCGTAAACTTGAATGCAATGATCTCAACCCCTATCTGCAATAAACCCATAAACTTGGATCGCGATTGTTAATAGCGAATATGATTGTGAATGTAACAATGAAAGTGAAGTGAAAACCTTTAGTGGCGGTCATTCCGCAAGAAGCACTCAACATGCGGTGATTGGATAAGTCCGAGATTTGTACCGGGGCTTTTATGCCCGCCCGCCACTTATATTTAGTGAAATCTCGCATTCATGTTACGTTTGTTCGCCATTACGATGCACTTTCCCTTCTCGGGCCCTTTTCTTTTGCTCTGCCACTCACACTTTTTATTTACCTCACGGAGAGTCTAATGATTCATATAATTATCATGAGACAATTCTACTCAATTTTTTCTCAAATTTTCCACGGCATTTTCCGCCAATAGTTTTGAATTTTATATTTTTCCAGATGTTTCACAATTGAAAATTGCGAATTTTATGAATAGTCAATGGTTTTTGTTTCTCTGAAATTTCAAGCTTATTCTGTGAAAATGAAAAATTGGGAAAACCGCAGGAAAATTGAATGAATTCCCGTTTGTTCAATTTTTTTTTTAAACCGCGAAAGATCCGGAAAATTCGGGGGAAAATTTCAATTGCACTTTTGCAAGTTCACGCGAGGGAAGAAGCGGTCGTTCACACGTTGTGGCATCACGTGAATGTAAGTTGAAGGATAAAATGAAAAAGAAAATATATTGACAGCGGAAGGAGACGGTGGGTCGATAGTAGGTTCGTGTCACGAGACATTACGTCATCACGAGACATAGGAAAGAGATGAGTTCGGATAGGCGTTACAAGTAAAGAGAAGAAAGTGAATTTAGAACGAGAATGAAATTCTGAAGGGGAAACTTTCGCCCACCGAATAAAAATTCAAAGATGCTCGAAAAAAAAAAAATAAATTGAGACGCACCAGTGGATCTCCTACTCAAAAAGATATCGATCTCATAAAATTCACTGATGAAATCATTTTATTCGATGAACCGAGACCCTGCGCTCAAGTTTTACTCTTATTTGCGCATACGAAAGGAAAGGCCATTAATAATACCATAAAAAAGCGGAAATTTCACATTTCACTCGCGAAACGTTGAGGCTGTTTACAGTGTTAACAAATTTTTATTTAAATTTTCAGTGCAAATTTATCTCTTGCAAATCTATCGTATTATAATCTGCGAGTTTCAATGGAATTCATGATTTCACAGACAAATCAATAAAAAATGTGCATTTCAGATCATTCACCCCATAAAAAATTCAGAAAATTCTCTTCCTTTTCTAACATTCGCAAACTTGTTCCTCCAATACCCCGAAACCTAGGAGAGCCAGAAAATTTTTTGTTGGAAACTTTTTATAGAATAAAACAATATCTACAAAAAAGATCAATACAAAAATCCGCTATCTCCTCTACATTCCGAGGTTATGCAGAAATGGAGTTGAATGAATGTAAAACCCGAATGAGTGAATGAGTGAAGTGAAAATCCGTCACACGTCGAGTTTAATTAGTCCAGTAGGACACGATGAGAAAAGAGTATCCAAAAAAAAAAATAAGAGAGATGGCCCGATCAGTCATAAAAGAGATTGTGCGATGTGTTGCGTGATGAATGGTATTGCAAAGACTGGAAACCGAATAAAAAAAAAAAATCTAACACGGAAAACCCATGGGCGCTGCTATTTTTGAAGCTCGAAATGGTGCGGCATCAAATAGAACATTTGCGAAAGAGATTGTACTGTGTGAAAATACAACCAGTTCGTCGACCCAAACATAACGAACGTTTGGCATGACCGAAGTGCATGAGAATATTCTGCAAGTCGCAATGTGACGTTTACACTTCCGTGTGACATGACAATATTCCTCAGTCAAACTACTGTCTCTCTAAAAAAAAATTTTACCAGGAAACAAGTGGAGAATTGTCCTTTCTACATTGCAATTATTTATCTCTAATAAATTAGCCACCGAATCTGGAGTACTTTAAAATTCTCTTTCACAGTACATCCATTACAAATTCGGAATGCCAGACCTCAAGGAATTCACCCTCTGCATGTGGACAAAATTTACAAATCACACCAACGATCATCCCCTCTTCTCCTACGCAGGTAAATTTCACAATAATTATGTGGCAATTCGAATAGATTCTAGTACTTAAGATTTACATATTAGATCGCATACCTGTGACGCAGAAAATCATTCTATTTCCATTCAAGAATTCATAGATCGATGGAGAGAGGAAAAAGCTTGAGTTTCCAGGGACGAGTGGATAATTTTTAAATTGAGTTTGGAATTTCAAGATTTTCTCACAAGTTTGAGTATCTAGTGTCATTGAGTGGATGGAGTGCCTAATTACTGTAATTACAGTTGGCGATCAGCCACGAGGGCTCTTCTCCTGGATAGCCAACACCCAGAGGAGTTCCTACTACATGATGAACATCGATGGCCACAATCTTTACCGTCTGAATTATCCCCTTCGCCTCAACAAATGGTATCACTCATGCCAGAGCTGGAATGGACGCACAGGTGAATGGCAAATTTGGGTCAACGACGAGCGAGTGGGTCGTGGCTTTAACAATCGTGTAAGTTATAATTACACCATTAAATGCCCATCGTACGAATGCAATACCGTAACCATCTAATTTATCCACTTTGTAGCTCGTGAGACACATAATAAAAGGAGGAGGTATCGCAATATCTGGACAAGAGCAGAGACAACTTGGTGGAGGCTTCCTCGAGGGACCGAGTGCACCACAAGGTGAGAAATTAAAATGACAAAATTTATTATAACCCACGAAAATGAAAAGTCTCAATATTTTTTAATTGATCTCATATTTAAACGTGATACCGAATTTATGGATAATTAAATTTTTCAATATTATTTGATATTGCCATTTGAAAAGGAAAATTCGAATTTTTACAATACAAAGGTATCGTGTGGGTGAATAAGGTTCAAGCGAAAAGGGATTGCAAAAGCAATTATAAAACTGTTCTGATATCGATTATCAATCTGATAAGGTTCTGGTGGTATGCTCGGTGAGTTGACAATGGTTCAGTTATATAACGTAGCACTGACCGCTGGCAAAGCTCACAAAGACCACAAGCACCATCATGCCCACCACTACGAGCACGACACAAACAATAACCGACCTCTTGCAACAACAGCAGCACCAGTTACAGGGCGGCCATTGCCAATGCACCCGTTCCTCACGGGTGGACAAATCAATCACCAGGTAATCCATCTACCCGACCACCCCTTGACCACTCTAAGCCATCGTTTCATTGCAGGTGAAGCTAAATCCAGGAGTGACTCTCCAGTTAACTCAAAATGGCTTGACCCTTCGTCATCCATCGGTACCAGTGCCACCAGTTCCAATGCCCTTTCCTCCACCGAATCCTGACGTGAAAATTCCACTCCCAATACCTACACCACTGCCAAACTACACTCCAATCTACGGTACATCGCAGTTCTTCGGTAAACGTTTTCCAACGATTTCTCCATCGACCCCACGACCTCTGAATGACTTTAGCTTCTTGGACGGTCCGTACCACGATCTCTTCAATCGAGAGAAAAATCTCTTCAAGAGAGACAACGCTAGAGAGGAAGAAACAGCAGTTGTTGAAGAGTTTGACTCGAAAAGGGAAGTGTCGAAAAGAGAAACTGCTGTGGGAGACAGTGAGTTTGAGTCCAAGAAGACAATCGTCAGGAGAGAAGCTAGTGATGATTTTGAATCTACGAAGGACCAAGAGACTACTGCGTCTAAGACACTATCGAAACGTGGATTGGTTCAATTCTCTGATGGTTCGTTACTGGACGACAGCTTTCTGGTATCCCAGAATTTGAATAACGATTACTTCAGTGGCTTAGCGAGTTTTAGCAATCAAGTTCAACAGCAAGTGAATAAAGACGATGAGCGCGAACCTGCGGAGGCTGAAGTGAAAATGGTGATGGATGTTTGCGATGGATGCACACCAGATCCCTTTGAGAAAGCTCTAGTAATGGACTGGAGGAGTGTACCTAAGAAAGTTTATTCTGGGGCACTCTGGATACCAGCGAATCCAATGTGCAAGGCGTTTTAATAGTTTATCGTATTTTACGGTGGATGCTTCCGTGAATTTACCGTACAATCGCGAGATTTCTTAGTTTTCTTCGAGTGCCTCCAGTAATCCGGCACTAGCCATTCGGCCATTTTCCGGGGCTTTTACAGGCTTTTTTCTTTTATATCTCGTTTGTAAGAAGCTAGTGTAACATGTAGAGAACTTTTTTGGTGTGTTCGGACAGTATTTTCAACTCAGATTATGGTACTGAGTTTTTTTTTTAACTTGTACAGATTGCTTATGAGTACTTTTAAGTTTTTATCGTACGCTAAGTTAATGTTTTAAGTACTTGTACAAATTTTTCGGGGTTAATAAACGCTCGTATTTTTTATTTGTCACTTACCTTGCTCTTGTGGATGTGTTGGTGTTGGAATTCACTGTCGAATTCAGGCTCGCTGAAGTAACTCTGGTCCTCCCAGTGGGGTGGCAAGCCTTGACCACCCACTGGTACACCCTGGAGGGGTCCTGGCATTCCCACAATGTCGTTTTTTTCGATCAGTCGCAGCACACTCCGATCTCTGATGTCTCGCAGGTGTGATCTTTAAATCAAACAAAGTGTTGTCAAAAATTGTAATTATCGATGGTTTTACTCATTTTCTAATGTACATGGAGAGAAAAATACTGGAAGAAGTTGCCAGAGAATATTCATTCGAATGAATCTCATTTAATTCATTTTGGCTTGTCTATTTTTCATTGTCTTATTGATTATCTGATTGATAATTGGTGCCGTTAAACTGTTTTAAGAGGAGAATCATGAGTTTTTGCAATGAAACTTTCAGCTTATCGTGGAAAATAGTCTGAGAACATTGACGAGAATCTTTTCGTCGTGAAATGCTATGTGATAAGTAATTTGGAGTTTTACCGATGGTCTTCGAGCTCGTAGAACATGTCTTTGTTGCTGTCGTGAATGTAAACTTTGACATCAGGGCTGTCAAGATACTCCATCGTCAGCTGCTTGGGGAAGCTCCTGACGAAGAGTGCTTTAACAGTATCGATGCTCGTTATTTCATTCGGCAAGAGGGCCCTCTTCGTCTCCTTCCTGTACTGCAGGAACACCAGTCCTAGGGAGTCGCCAACAGAAATTCATTGTTTTGTCAGGATTTTTTCCTTCCTCGAATAATTACTATCAATCTCATAAATATTGTTTTATTATTTCCAGATCAATCGATCTCAAATACAATCAAAAGATCTCTCACCTCAGTTTTATCAACTTTCTCTTTACTGATTAAAAAAAAATTGAAATTACAATTGGAAAATTAATTGCGCGATTGAATTCAAGAGAATTGATGAATTTATTGTATCAAAAATTATTGTGGGAGGTCAATTGAGGAATGAGTATCAGTTAGTGGTATATTATACAAGAATAATTAATTATCTCGGAGATATTATTTTTTTTTTGTGGTAATTTTCAATTTTCCAAGTTACCTAGTGGTCTTTCCAGAGTTTTGCTTGCGGTTCGCACCACTGGGAGACTACTCCGCTGTTTTCCACCCCTTCGGAATCCCGTGGAAGAAGTTTCCACCTCCGACATGATTCCCGGGTCATCATCGAAGAGCATCGCCGTTGACGGCGGCGGATATCCCCTCGGAAGTGGAGACTGCAATAAATAATCCTTCTTTAATAATTTTAATATCCTCACGCTATTCCATGATAGTGGGATAAAATGAAATAACTGCTCAGTATATTTCTATTTCACTCCCTTATTTATGATTATAATTTCATGCGTGAAATTTCATCGAATTTTTTCAAGCGAAAATGTGCAAAAAGGGGAAAATTGGAGGAGAATTACCTTTCGTTGGCGTGACTTGGTTCCCATCTGCGTATTATTTTCAGTGGATTACGGAAACACACATAATTCAAAAGTTAAAAACACACCGAGAGTACGTGTTACACGGAGAAGAAAATAATCGGAAAAATGTGGAAATCACAAGAAAATGGAAACAAGAAAGACATTTTTGGCATTTTTAATGAACGAATTATTTACTTCAATTATATTTTTCAAACGAAGAAATTATTATTAAAAGTTTTTTACAAGAAAATGCATTTTTATTCTTTTTTTTTGTTGCAAAAAGTCTGGGGATAACATGAATATTATTATTATTCACATTCTCATGTGATTCACATTCTCGTTAAGGAAAATTGTGGAATGAAAAATAAATATTAATTCTTCAGCTAATGTAGCTCCCGGGATTCCCATAAAAATAATTGAAGTAACAATTTCACTTGGAGAGTGTACGTGCGTTTATAGCGGAGCGGTAAAACGATTGAAGAGAAATTAAACAATTAATTCAAAGTAGACAGTGTAATGTCGGTAATAATCTTTTTGGTAGTCTTCCATTGGCTCCCCAAAAAAGATATTCCGAGACCCAAATTGAAAATGACTCAACAGTGAAAACGGTTGTTTTTTTCCTCAATTTCTTTCTCCGTGTAAAAATTAAAAGGAGAAAAATTCATATTTGCACAGTGAAATAAAATATTGTATGTGATAAAAAAATGCGCAGAGAAAAAAAAAATCGCATACCAATTCTGCAGCATTACTCCACACATTTCGAATAACAATGAATTAATTGATGAAAATGATAATGAATGAACGAATTAATTATCATTTCCAAGATAAATAAGAAATGCAATTAGCATTTTCTATTTTCAGTTGAACTGTAATTATTATTAAATCCGATTGTTTAATGTCAATTAATAGTAAATTTTAGGTTGAACAGAATATTTTTTTCTCTGCGTTAATGATTTGATAATAAAGTGAATTTTTACCTCGAGATCCATGGTTCCGTGTCTGGGTGGTGTACCGTACTGTCCGTGTGGTGGTGGCAGATGATGGGGATGCAGGGGATGTAATTGTTGGGTGTTAAATTGCTGGTGATGAAGGGAGGGCGCGTGATCACCGCTGAGGGTGTGCCGTCTTGGCTCGTCCCTCGAACGGCCACCCCCGCCCCCCAGTGGACCCCCTGCCCTCGCCGACGTTACCCCGACGGTCCCCAAAACTCCGATGACGCCGCTCCTACGACCACCACCAAGATCGTTCGAACCACCCTCACCCTCCGCCCTGCCTGATCCACCTGTCAATTTCATTAACCAATTCGTTAGTTCTAATTCCAACTGCATACATTCGTTCTCTCTGAAATTAATCCCCTCTAAAGGTAAAACACCCCCTCAACCCGACCCCCTCCAGCCGGCTTTAAAATAACAATTGCTTTTTTTTTTTAAATTAGATCGGTAGTCAGAAATGTCAAATGAATACAATTTTTTTTTTTCATTTGATTTTAGAGTTATCAAGAATTATTAGTCATTGTTTTGGGTTTTGAAATATTATAAAATTAATAACATGATGTATGATAATAATGATAATTTATTATAATTATAATTAATTTATAAATTGGTGGAAATTTTTCAGAAATTCCAGTTTTAGTGGAATTGCAAAAAAAAAATTGAGCCTGATTAATTGTCATGTGCTTTTAGAAAATTTTGAAATTGCATTATTATTTACGTTTTGGGTATTGGATATTAATTTAGCGACTGAAATCTTTTGGGGTTTTCAATTTTCTGCAGAATTTAGACATATGCGTGAAAATTTTTCTGCCAGTGTAGTCCCTCGGCCTATTTGGCAAGAGTTATTCACCGACCAAAAATAATTCTTAGCGAGTAAGCTGGAAATAGTCGCGGTATAGTCAAGGGGTTAGGAAATAGCTCATAATATATTTTTTATTCGCCCCCCGAGAACGCCCACTGAAAAGAACCGCCTTTGTTTACAATTACAGGCGCCTAGTTTCCGTCGGTTTAAATAAAAAAAAAGGGGGACAACTTTTGAGGAAATTATAATGTCGGACAATCGACTAGTAATTTTTTTGCACGCGCAATTCCGACAACTAAATCAGGAGAATGTATTGGGAATTTAGTGCACGTTTTCATACTTCACCGGAATTCTTCAACTTTCCTTGACGAAAATAAATTCGAACGTCACACGGAATAAAAAATTTACAGAGAATTACGCGGTGAAGGGTCATTCCATAAAAATTACGGAACTCATTTTTTTGTAATGTCGGGGAAGAATTACGTCGCGCTGAAATAAAAATTCAAATTAGTTTCGTAATTTTCAGCGAAACGACAGTTCTCTCGTTTACGGTAGTCTCACGTAATTTTTTATGATTTTTTTTTCTCCGTCTAGTCAATTATTTTCTCAAACCTTGAATTTCAGATACTCAGGTAAAAAAAAAATGTAATGAGAATTTTTTTTTCAAATATTCAAATAATTTCTGGAAAACATTTCAAAAAATTTTTTTATGAAACGGAAAAAAAATCGGAAACAAAACAATTTTATTGTTGGGAAAGGTTCTCAAAAGTTTGTCAAAAATTTAAATAGAAAAATTCTTTTTATCATTTAGATGACGTATTTCTTGAGAATATTAAAAAATTAGAAAAGTAAGAAAACAACCATATCATTAAAAAAAATTATATTCGCAAAAATTTCTAGAAAATTATAAAAAAAAATTTCTAAAACATTATCCAAAAAAACAAAAATTTTTGAAAAGTTTTCTAGAAATTTTTTGAAAATTTGGAAAAAATATTCCGATTACAATTTTTTTTTCACCCGGGTAGCAGGATTAATAGAAATTTCTTAAAGAATTCGTATCCAGAAATTTATGGAGAGAATCGATTCAACAATCGCGATAGCTATCAGGTTATACCCCGTAGAAACAAGCCGACATGACGGATGAGCTTCGAGAATGATAATTGACCCGGTTTGAATCCAAATACGTGAACTCGTACACCAACACACACATATATGCACCCGAATCCCCCAGTCAATCAATCGATAATCAATTACCCTGAGAAAAAATCCTCAGCGCACAGACAAAGTGAAATAAGTGAAATCCACTATTATCCTAAATTATCCATTTATTTCACAAACTGTCAATTAGAGGTGAAAACCATAATAGACTTTTTTGTAGCTGATTAAATTTTCCACAAAAAAGCCCTTTTGGTGTTCCCCCCAGAAATCAATAGTTTCGGAAATAAATGGGTATTCAACCCGAGTTTCACCGATCACCAAAAACTACTGACAAGTCCATTGCTTACTTCCGTTTCCGGGGAAATTCTCGGTATCTAAGAGAGATAACGAAATTGTTATCGGGACCTTTTTTGTAGAGCGAATTCGGGTGCCCAAAATAGCTCCTATTAACTTTTCCGCTATCTCTGTTGGATTCTGAGATTTTCCCCGAAAACGTACACCAAGTGGCTATTGATGAAAAATAATTTGTCTCGTCGCAAATATCCGATTATTCGAATTCACATGCACATGCAAATACGCGCATTATCCCTTATTGACGTTGATGCAAAGCGATTGTAGCAATTGCGAGTGCGCATACTAACGAATGTCTAGGGAGGAGAGAAAGGCGACTGATTGTCATTATAATTGCACGATACGTCTTGATTCAGAGAGGCCTAACGAGAAATATGTCTCAGATCCAACACCCGGATGTCACTTGATCCGAGCTCTCATAATTATTATGCAAATAACTGAAGACATTACGCTGACTAGGAAATCATAACTTCTCCGGATCAATGCCCTTCAATCCATTAAAAAATCCCCGACTTATTAACTAGACTGAAAAAAAAATTATTTCCATTATCAAATGAATTTGAAAATTAAATAGTAATTTGAAAAATTAAAAATGCAAATAAATTGAAAATTCCGGAGAATTATTGATTGAATTTCCCACATGAATTTGAAATTACAGAATTACCAGAATATTTATTAAATAAACTCATTTGATTGACTAGAAAATCTGCGTAAATGCTACGTCAATTTGTAATTGTAAAAATGTCAAGTCTTTTTACGTGAAATATTTCAAGTGTAATTTTCCAATAGTGCGAGGGAATGGTTCTGATGAACGAAAAGACAATGAATATTTGATAGTTGAACTGATCAATCTCGTTATCGATACGCGAATCTTCTTTAGGGTGGGACTTTAGTCTGTTCGATCGTCACGCATCGGTGCTGAAAAATTCAGGAGCTATTCACCAGCCAACACACGGAAGTACTCGAATTCGATACATGAAAGGGAAATGGATTGTACTCGCACTTATATTGAACCTCGCACACGTGCAAGAGTACCTCATGCATGACGAGTGCCTTCAGAATTTTTCTGGTGCTCTCCGGTTATGGAAAATTAAATGTAAAGGGAAGCCACCGAACTCCCAAAGCTAATCGATTAATTATCTATTAAACCACCGAAATCCCAATCCACGGAATTTGTTTCAATATTTTTAATGCATATCACTCATTAATTAATTGCGTCATTACAAATTAAATGACTGTCATTACAGAATTAATCAATTCAGTATTTTTTTTTATGTTGACAACGATAAAAATTCCATGAATGACGAGAAATTACAAGATTACAATTGATGATTGATAATTAATAATTTTTCAAAAGCGTTGATTATAATTTGTCTGTGTGAAAAAAAATCGGGTAATTTCCATTGATTATTTCTCATCGGGTGTTTGGAAAAATTATTTGTAAGATATTCAAGGGATCTTTTGACAGACGAGTGGATGTGAAGGAGCAGAGTTCATTGGTCGAAGGAGTAAAAGTGTGAGGATGTCTGACGAGTAGAGGAGGAGGAGAAGAGTCTGCCGTCTGACTAGACGTAGGGGTTACAATCCCTTTTCCAACTTTGAAAAGGTAAATACCAATCCCCCAGATCCCTCATACCCGCGGTTTTCGCATCCCAGACATCAATTCACTCCCAAAAAACAGCCCAATTAATTCCAATTAACCACCACTGCTCCACAATTTATCACAACGAAAATCCAACAATTCCATTCCTCCACTCCGAACTATCAGTCTTGATTACTGAGATTAATTAATTACAGAATAGTATGTAATTGTGAATGAGGCTCGTTCATTGAAGAATATTGTAATTTTTACTTACATTTTTCGGGGTTTTATAAAAAATCCAGAGATGCGGGCAAATCGAGAGGCGCCCGGAGCACGCGACACAATCGAATTGATTGAAGACGTACAAAGGCCATCCAATATAAACGAACCAATTGAAATCCAGGAGGGGATTTGAAAAATAATATTTAACTCCAATCGAAATACACACTACAGGCGGAGTTGACGAGCAATCGCGTGAATACCGCCGGAGGCTGCATAACAAACACGAGAGTAAAGGGAGCGATGATTCCCCCAAAAGCTTAACAGACGATAAAAAAAAACACAAAACTCCGGTTTTATAATCAATATTAGTGTACAATCCGTCCGTCGAGTGTCGCAACGTGTCAATGAGAGGATATCGCGGTGAGGGATTAAGAAAAAAAAACAAAAAATTCGATGAAAAGGGATTTTTAATTTAAGGGATGACCGCCCTTTGATAATTTTTTTTAAACAGCGAGGAGTGAATTTTGGGGACTTTTGAGAATTTTTGGTGGGGATTTTGGGATTCACGGGGGTTTATCGGTCTGATAACAGACAAGTGGAGAAGGGACTGACGAGTGCAGACAACCCTCGTGTACTTTTCCCTACGGGCGCGCGATATCAGGGTGTGGCGAGAGATCATTTAAAAGATTCGTCTTGGTTCGATGACCGGCCCTATGGCGGCACCACCTTCTGCCGATCTACCGCCATCTTTGGGGGAGTGTCCTCGAGGTTTCGGGGAATCCCGGGGTGTCTGCTTTATCGACTGATGATGGACGGGTTGAGGGAGTTGTACCGCAAGAGCAGCGGGATTAACCGATATTTCATAATTCTCTGGTGAAAAAATACTAGAATTATTCGTTTTTTTATTAAATTAAATTGATTAATTAGTGGGTTGACTCCATATCGCAGGGAAAATTGGGGAAATATTGGAAGTTCAAGCAATGACTCCTTGGGGTTTTCAGTTTGTTGGAAATTGAATTGCAATTGATGTTCGATTTTCGCATCGGGATTCAACATTCAACATTAAAAATAAATTTCAATAAATTATGTAATTAGTGTGTAATTGGTGTGTAATTATTACAGTTCTGGAGGGGGAATGCGTTTTTATATCGAAACGAAATGTGATATTGCCGTTTTATTTTATCTTTATATTTATGGTCGCGTGAAAACTACTCGAAATTATCAATTCCTGTCGGTTATTTTCCTCTGAAAAGGAATTCTCGCCCGATGACGATAAAAACAGCCGTCGGCGATATTAATTAATCTCGAGTGAACTCAGGGTGGAAAGGAAGAGAAGTGGAAGGAAAACTGCTAATTTAGCCGCAGCAGGAGAAAATCTTGGAGGAAAAATTTTAATTCCCAGTGAATTTCAATGGCTGTGATTACGAAAAATTACATCGCTTTGCATTACTAAATTTCAATGCAATTGTTTTCCAGTAATTGTAGGAAGAAAAAAAAAACAATTTTCACTGCTCGAACCTATGTATTTTTTCAAATCAATAATCCCCTTAATTAGTCGCGCAATTATTATTCCTAATCACCCATTTTTACTCTTTAATTCATTCCTATTTTCCGGAATAACAAAAGACAGTATACAAAAAAAAGAATTAATTAACAACAATCAAAAAATGGAATCGCAATGACAAAAAGCAGTTTTAATTTTCATTCAGTCAGATAAATTAAGGTTGTTGTCGCGTAGAATTTTTTTTCGACAGTTTTCGTTAAAAATTTTATGGTGAATAGTTTGAAAAATTAGCAACAAAATGAGTCTTATCCGTTTGCGATTGACCGTTTTGAACTTGAGATATAAATTTTTGAAATTCGAGTGATTTAACACGTGTTTAAATGGAGTTTTACCGATTAGAATTTTTTAAAAATCAACGGCTCGACAGTTTCAGAAATAAAAAAAAACGTGGAATATACATGGTGGGAGGAAATACAGAAAAAAAAATCAAATCGATTGACCGTTTGGTTTACGGAATATAATTATCGGAAATTCATAAATTTATATAATTGAAAATAGTTAATATGGAAAATATATAGTTATGCTTTAGCTATCCATGCACAATGCAATCAATCAAGTGAGACTATATACCGCTAAAAGATTGTGTTCTAAACTGGCCCGTTTTACAGCGGATAAACTTTTTACAGAGACTGTCGCGCGACAACAACCTTAATGGAATGAAAAATGGATGAAGAGGAAGTTGTAAGAAATTTTTAAATATTTCCAGGACCTATCACAATCCCTGATTAGACCCTCTCTAGTCTCTGTATAAATATATAAGACCGTGAGGAGTGGAAAGGTGGTGGCGAGGGGGAGGACAGGGGGAGGTGTATCAATTCCACAGAAGAAACACCCGATACGGTGGAATTTAATCCTGTGGAAACCCGGCAAAGTCCGTACATTTAGTTGAAGTTACGTTGACACTGGGGTAAAACGGCAAGAGGCATGAGAATAAAAAGTAGATGGGATCAAGTTTAAGCCAGTGAAAACTCATTCGCTCGTAAAGGAACGCATCAAACACCCAAAAGAGCTTCAGGCGAAATATCGCTTTTCTGGACGCATCATCCCCACTGAAATTACAACATCAAAAGGCAAAGGGAATTGATGTCAGTGAAGAGACCAACCAATTGTCTCCTCGCTAAATTTATGTGGGCCAACTTCATCTCATGCTAACTTCACTCTAAAAAGAGTTATAAAAACAATTTTTACCCCTGACCATACACGGAGAGAAAAATACTGGAAAAATTACGGAACTTTTACGTATTCGTGGGGTGACTTTGGTTTTCGGAAAAAAGTACTGAAAGTTCCGTAAAAATTGTCCTAGCGAGCAGGAATTTTTACAAAACTGTCTGGATAATTTTTACAGTACTTCCAGTACTTTTCCCCGAAAACCAAGGTCGCCCCACGATTACGTAAAGTTCCGTAATTTTTCCAGTATTTTTCTCTCCGTGTAGAGAACACCAATTTTCACTTTGTGGTTTCTACCCGGAAATAAATATTCAGTCAAAATTATGGAACAATTCTGGTAACCCACAGTGGAAAATCTGCGAGGAATTTTTTTAAATATTTCAGTTGTCTTAGTGAAAAGAAATATTCGCGGAAATTGACATTTTTCGCGGTCTGTAAAATTTAATTTTTTGGTTTCGATGCGGAAATAAATATTCAGTAAAAATTACGGAGCGATTTCAATCGCAATTGAAAATTTTTCCATTCTGTAAAATAACGGTAATTTTTACAGAACGAATTACTTTTCACTGAATTTTATTTCGCAAAAAGTGTTATATAACGCGAATATATTTTTTTCTGGTAATTCTCATATTTTCAGTTTAAATTTTTATCTCTTTATATTATTTATCTCGATATTCTTGAAAAATTGTTGAATTTCTCATGATTTTTAATTTTTGTTTAGGAATGCGAACTCACCGGTGTCATCGGACTGGCGCCCTTTACCACCCGGATTCCACTCTTCTTCTGCAACGAAAAAACAACAAATAAAAACGAACTAAATAAATAAATTTCGAGATTCGATGGGGCTTGAGTTGCAGAGTAGTTCACATTATTTTTACGTGACCATTTTACGTCCGCAGTGCGCGAAAAAACTTCACTCTGGACTGGCTAGTCGTAACTGATAGAATGAAATAGTGTTTTCTGCATTTGCTGGACGTTAAAACAGACGGAAAAAGTGATGCAATGAAAGGGGATTGCAGCGTTTGATCGCTGCGGATTTTTTAATTTTAATGACTCATTCCGAGGGGCTACTCACTTCCACTAGAAACTCTAAATCACAGCCAATCGTAATCCCAAATGCCCGTTATAAAATTAAAAAAAAACACACTTAAAAAAAAAATACCAAGAATAAAATATATAAAACGTACATTTTATATATTTTATATTATAAAAATATATTCTTTATCAATCCTAATATTTTCTGAAATGAAATTTTCTCATATTATGAGTATTTCAATTTATTTTTCGACGTGGATTGACGCGACTGATTTGAGTTTCCCCGAAATCGCGGGAATTCCCGTGGAAAAACCGCGAAATGGACTTGATTTGGAAATCACGGTGTCACTCAATCACAGAGCGAATAGCCCCTCAACTGACTCGTGCACGTTTCCCATTATTGGTTGGAAATAGTAAAGAACAATGATGTCCTTCACTCATTCAATTGCACGCCTGTAGAAATTTGGGATTGTGGTAGCAGTGGCTGATGAAACCTCTGCCCCTTCAAAAAAAAGAAAGAGAAATTGAAGATTCTTTTTCTTGAGATAAGCACCTGAGGGCTCGGAGTCTGAACCTGGGGTTGGGCTGGTGTCGACGCTGTGCCTAGAGCCCTGACAACACTCTGCACATTTGCTGCACATTTTTTACTCGTCACTTTTAAACTATTCACCTGATTAAAAAGTAAATCCCTCTTGTTGTTAAATGAAAAATATTTGATTTTCCTCAGGGGAATTGCCACTCTCCAGGAATTGTCATGGGGTCAGTCACAGAAATGTGCAGTTGCACAGAAAAAATTTCGGTTTAATTAATTTCATTTCGCCGGGGAAATTTACTGGACAGCGCATACAAATATTTGCATTTGAAATTCGTGAAATATCTGAGAGTTCATTATATTAATTTGTTATGAGAATTATCCGGGAATATACTCGTAAAAAATGAGAAGAGACAGATTTAGCTCTTGAATGAGATTTTTTGGAAATTACACCGGAAATAGGAGAGATAACGGAATTCTTGTCAGGAGCTTTTTTGTAGAGGCAACTATGAGACAGAAAAGATGTTATAACCAAAATTTCGTTATCACCTCCCCTTTCCGAGATATTTTGGAAAAACTGAGTGAAATTATGTTTTTTCATTTGAGTTCCAAATTTTTCCGCCAATTTTTCCGCAAATTTTTCGAGATTTATTCCCTTTCTCTTTTTTATATTGGGATATAAATCCAATACATGCAATGCTGTATCCCATAATATTTATGCGTAATACTCATGTTATGATGCAGACGATCCATTCAATATCCGTAAATTGCATGAATGCGATGAATTCATTAAACTCAATTAGCTCTTCAATTTAAAAAAAAGTACTCGTTACAACTCTCTGCAGAAATTTGTCCATCCATATTTACGGTACCTCCGAGAATTTTATCATATTGAAAAAAAAAAAATGGATTTTTAAAAAAATCGCAGAGGTCCATAAAAACTCTGCGCCGTGAATTTTCATTAATTTTCGTAATTCCCCACTTTTTGCAATTATCACCGACCGTTTAATGAAACACTCGACTCATCAAAAAAACTCCTCTCCCTCCCCAAAGATTTATTTTCCATTCCCGAATTTTTCCCCTTTTTCCAACCGCAAACAAAACGAAAGAAGAAAATCTTTCAACCAAATCATGACCATCAGGGCTACACAAGTCGATTTTTCTACCCAGAAATTCCATTAAAACAATTCCATTACCCAACTCCGTCCCCAATAAATCCACCAAAACACAAGATTGACAATCGACCAAATGAATAACAATAAATAAAAAACAATTCCCCCAAAATGCCCTAAATCAATCAAATAATTAATGACCTGTTAAAACTTGCGTCCTCGGGAGACTTCAACTATAAAAAAAAAAAAACAAGAATAAATAATGGCATAAAATGTTGACCCCATTACCCCCCACTTCATGCCCCTATTACCCGATCTCTCAGCGTATTTCACAAATTTAACGTGCATGTCCTGGGTTGTGAGGACACAGAGGGCGTATCATTGTTATACCAAAGAGGAATAAATAAATAATAGAACACCCGATGAGTAAGCATCCAACGTGAATAAAGCGAGAGTAAATAAAACCGGAGGGTCTGAAAGATGAACTAGCGGTAGATTATACACGATAAGACCTGGAGGATAATATCTACCAGCATTGCGCGCAAATGTCAACACTGCTTTGGTATATAGATCAATAAAGGTCAACGCGTGTTGTCTAGGGCAACCTCTAGCTGTGGAGTAGATTCATCTGACTCTCTCGTTATATCCTGGGGTACATCGCACCGAACCTCACGCACTCACGCTCTGTTAATTGTCCCCGAGGTCATGACCCACTTCTTGTGACCCACTGTTTTTCATTTTTTCTTTTTCAATCATAAACTTTTTCAAATCCCTCTCATCCCTTAACCCTTTCTCGGCACTTTATTCCGGATTGAGATCGTGATTTTTTTTTTTTTTTGGCCATCGAATTTTTGTGGTATGAGAGCAAAAATCCTGACTGGGTGGAAATTCCACTTGAGATTTTTGATAATGAATAGTATTTTTTTTTAGAATTTGAATTTGAATTTTTGTGGAATTCGAATTGTTGGTGGATTCGTTTATTTTTTTAATGTTTCGGTGATTTTAGATTTTTTTATTCATATGATTCGGAAAAATGGTAAATGTCAGAGTGAAGGGGTAATTTTCCCGGATTTTCTATTTTATTGGAAATGTTGAAGAATATTTGATGGAGGAAACAGAGAAATCAGACGGGGTCTTCTTGACTTTTGAAGATAAGTGAGGACTTTAGGGAGGGTTTGTGGATGATTTGATATTGCAGATACATTTAATGCATCCGATTGATACGTTTTCGGATGCTCCGGGGAATTTAGATCAGCTGCACGTATGTAGGACGGAACGTCACTGGAGAATCACAGATGGGGATGAGATTCCTCGCTCGGGGACATTTTCCAGAGGGTTTTGCCGAATTCAGTTCAACGAGAGAACGTCGAGTCAAGTGGAGTTCATCAGTTCGTTAACTGCAGAACTGTTCAAATTTGCAAGAGACGAGTGACCATCAAATCAACGCTGTGAAAATAGAATGAGTCTTTACTCGGAATTAAAAAAGACAATCCCTCGATTGTCGGCATTTGAGGGAGACGAATTGTCTTGAATCGTGAATAATTCGAGATTGACAGAGTGGGAATTCATCATGTCCGCATAATTTTCAAGGTTTTTCCAATTTTCAGGGTGAGATGAATGTCTTTCGAGTTGTATTCGGGTGAAGTGTTGATACTAGAAGAGTCCGGACTTTTATTCTTCGACCGTCCGATGCAGTTTCAAATGTCCCCACCCGCGAATTCGGCAAAACTTTCGAGACACTAATTCAAACGCATGAGCATTTGATTCAATACCCCCAGCATTAAAAATAAATATTCATCACGACCTGCAAATCCATCCCTCATTTCAATGTCAATAGAACCATCAATTGAAAAAATAAATCCCCAAATGGATTCCCGATTCTATTGGAATAAAGGTCAACGACTCTATTCCAAAGATCACGAGCCCCAATGATGCACTTCCCGATTTGCAAGAATGGAAAACCGTCGATTCAACGGATGAAATCTCCAATTCAAGCTGTTCTAAAACAAAGTCAAAATCGTGCGTACATATTCCCACTTGATCGCACCGTCTCACCATGTGATTTCCTCGGAGGAAGTAATCCAGACCCGACAAATTTTTCCTCTGAAAATTTCATTAGATCCCTGTCCCAATACATCCCACCGGAAGTGCCATACACAGAGCAAAAAGTCGAGTCGTTCATGCTAAATTAACCCAGGGATTCGATGACAATACAATAGTGATATCAAATTTCGTATCCGCTCTTCGCCCCCTACGATCCCCAGCTGATCATAAAAATGGCTATTTGTTTACAAAAAAAATTTCAGATGCAAAAATGGCATCCATCAACTCCATTCCCAAATATTGTTCGGACTCTTCGAATCCATTTCCCAGCCCATCGGAAACGTATAATTCTTCAGAAAGAAAATAACCAAAAAACACTGGAGATCAATTCGCAATCATCGTTGAGTGTACATCCTATCAGCTGAGCACGTTTCCAATAGGCTTTTAATCTCGCGGAATCCCTATAGTGCGATTCGAACTGTGATCGAATGCACGACTGTCAATCCTTCAGAAGCCCTTCTCATTCGGTTCACGACCTTTCTCACGTTATTACCTTTTTCAGGTGTTCGAAATCCCCGAGAAAAACTAAAAGAATCGAAAGACCAGGAAGAATTGCCCATGAAAAAAAAAAACCATTCGACGGAATCTCAAGTTAAATAATTTAGAAGATTTATGAATTATTATTATTCATTGAAGAATTATTTAATCTCGCGAATATTCCGGTAATTCTCAATTTTCAAATCGATATAAAACTGGAAAGCCGTGAAATCCTGAGAATTCAAGTAATATTTTTTTTTATTTTCAATTCATTAAACATTCGAGCTTTCTTTGAAAAATCAATGATTAATTATTAATTTTCTTGAAAATCCCGATTTTCTGGAATTTTCAAGATAAACGAAAAATTTTCTGACTGTTTTTAATTGAAATTAAAATGACTTCGTGATTGAAATAAAAAAAAATCTAACGGTATATTTACATTAATGATTTTAGGTGTTTGACTTTTTAAATGCAAAAATGCAAATATTTATTCCGCTCTAATGCCCGAATAAACACCGAGGCTA